AGATGCCCTTGGCCTGAATCGAACCTGGGACCTTTCAGTCTGCAGGCTGACGCTCTATCCACTGAGCCAAACCGGTTTCGGCCCTAAAGACAATTCTTATCCTAGAACTGAGTGGGAAGAAAGGAGGTAGGGAGCTGCTTGCATGTTCATGGGCTGTTTCCATGAGTTCCTCTCCCCATTTAGGCCCTGGTAGGCCACCCAAAGTGAAGGAGTGTGGGTAAGTCTCTCCCTCACCTTTATTCCCCCCTCCTCCCAGGAGAGGAGACCCACCTGTGTCTGCAGCGCCCCTGCTTCGTGCCAAGCAGCTGGGGAAAAGGAGACCCAGCCCTGGCCGGTTTGGCTCAGTGGATAGAGCATTGGCCTGTGGACTCAAGGGTCCCAGGTTCGAATCTGGTCAGGGGCACATGCCCGGGGTTTCGGGCTCCATCCCCAGTTGGGGTGTGCAGGAGGCAGCCAATCAATGGTTCTCTCTCATCATTGATGTGTCTCTCTCTCCCTCTCCCTTCCTCTCTGAAATCAATCAAAAAAATTAAAAAAGAAAAGATCCAGCTCTAGTCATCTCTGTCCATCAGGATCAATGGTCAAGGTCTGGGGAGAAAGGAGTTGTCAAGGGCGTTTATGCAGGACGTGGCCTTGGTGGGAGTTTGAGGAAAGGGGAGGCCACTCCCCATGCGCCAGGCCCAGCAGGGACAGGCCAGCTGAGCCACGTTAGCAGGCAAAGCCCTAAGGTGGGACAGCAAGGGGGGGACGCCAGCCCCTGCCCCATGGGTCCTGCAAGTGAGGTTTCCGACCAACAGCAGCAGCAACAGCACTTGGGAACTTGTTAGAAATGCAAATCTCGGGCCTTTCCTCAAACTCAGAGAATCAGAAATTTTGGGGGTGGGACCAGCACACCCTGCTTTAACAGGCCCTCTGGGTGATTCTGATTCTCACTTTAGTGTAAGAGCCACTGCCCTGCCATGAGGGGGGCCCTGGTTAACCTGGCTACTGTCTTATGGAGAGATAGGACCTTGTTTGCCCGGTGACAGGGGAGACAGAGCCCGAGCCCAGAAAATTCCCAGTCGGAGGGTGGCTCCTACGCTTCTGCCCGCCAGCCAGCGCCTCTATCGGCCCCTCCCAGCGGGAGGCCCCAGGTGAGTTTCTCTGGAGGGGCTGGCAGCACTCAGGACCCCAGGGAACCGCGGTCCACGTTCTCGCCACAGAAAGTCGGTTTGATGTGCTAATGAGGGCATCAATTATTGAGTTTTATTAGCATTCATTACAATAACAAGCAGGGGAGCAGAGGAGCCCCTGTGAATGCAGGAGGGTCTTTTAAAACTTATGGCCACTCACTCATCTCCCCTAGGCGGGGAGAGGCAGGGGAGAGTAGGAGAGGAGCTGTGGTCTAGAGTGCAGGCCTTGGGCAAAAGCAAGCACCCGCCTCCTCCTCAGTGCCCCACCCACACCAGCGTCTACCCTAGTCACTGTCTCCCCAGAACAGGGCCAAACCCCAGCCCCTCACTGCCTCAGGCTACTCATGCTGGAGTTTGGATGGTCCAAAGGGGCTCATGCACTGCACTGGCCTGACGATAGCTGCTCTGGCAGGAGGCTTTCTCGAGGATCTGGGTGGGAGGCTCCGGAGGTGGCAGAGAGAGTAGTGCAGGGGTCCAAACATAATTTCTACATCACCCCTTTCTCTGTGCCTTTCCCCAGAGGTCCATGCGCCCCTCTCTGTCCACTCCAGGCCCATCTCCTTCTTCCTGTCCAGATGTGTGCCCAGGTGCAGCCCCTGTTCCAACCGCACCTTGGGGGAAGGAGAGGCGGGGCTGAGTGTGGGTGCTCCCGCATAACCTCCCTCCACAGGCTCCCAGGAGCGGGTGAGGAGGCTGGGTGGGATGACTAAGAAGGGCAAGGTGGGCAGTGCCAGCTGCGCCCTCCCAACTGAGAGCAAAGCCAGAGACGCAGGAGGGCCAGGGGGAAGTTACCTGTTGCAGAATGAGAGTGAGGGCGGGTGGCACCTGAGGCATCTCAGGTGGAGGCAGCTGGCACCTTGGTTGTGCCAGGCACCCTGCCAGCTTACAGGAGCAAGTCTCATCTCTCATCTGGAAAAATCGTACCTGTGTTGCTCTTGCCCTGATCAGTCTTCTCCCTCCCCCAGGAGCCTCTGCTTCTGAGATCTGATGGGACGGGGGGGGGGGCATCTATCTTCGCTGGGGGTGGGGGCACAGGATCGGGTGGGGTCAATGAGGGGTAGATAATGCCAGGCCATCTGCCCTGTGGCTCCACTTGGAGCCTTGGGATCTGTGCTCCTGTTCAGGAGCTGTCTTCCTTCTCGCCCCTCCTTGGGACACGTGGAGGCCACCGTCCTGGGTTGGGTGGGTGTGGACGAAGTAGTTGAGGAGAGAAGGGAGTCAGATGAGCTCACAGCTCTGCAGGGGATCAGGAATGTTAAGGATTGTCTTTACAAAGTCAGGTACATACATACAAAAATTACCTGAGTCAGACCTAAGTGCCTCACTATGCAGGGGGCCCTCAGGATGCAGGAGGGCAACTTAGTGGGGGAACGATGGGTACCCTGGCCTGCTGGCCCCTTTGGAGCTGTCTCTAACGTCCAAGGCCTAATTCACGGAGTCTCTCCCGCTGTCCCCGAGGCAGTGGCTTCTTGTCATTCAGCACAAGGACAGCAAAACCGCCAGGTGGCAGGACAAGTGTCTTTCCAATGGTCCTCCAGGGCCAGTTCCTTAACCTTGACATGAATGAAGGTCAACCCTCAGCCACACCCTAGAGCCCACTCTCTCCCACCCACCATACAGTCGGTCATGAGCCCTGTGCCGGAGGTTGGTCCCTGCGTCTGGCAGCCCACAGGGTTAGGAGATGGTGATGTTGATAGAAAAGAGGCTGGGAGCTGTGGAGTCAGGCAGATCTGGGCTTGAATTTCAGCTTTGCTACTCTTATATTGGACAAGTGGCTATACCTCTCTAAGCCTCAACTCTTCTCTCTGAAATGGGGCTGAAAACGCCCGCTTCTGCAGGGTTGTGAGAGGGTTAAATGAAGGAATATGGGTAAGGCACCTGCTGATTCCCTGCCTCTTAGGCGGACACAAAGTAGGGGAGGGAAGAGACCTTGTCTCATGGGGGCACCCGGGAGGGGCAAAGGACAGCGTCCTGTGTAAGGACTGAGTGGGGGACTGAATGTGGAGGAGCCAGCAGTGTGAGTCCCCAACTTTGGGGCTTGGAGAGGCTTGAGAGGTGGTGTCCATGCAGCTGAGGGGGAAGCTACCCCTCCACTTGTCAACCCCTCCCTTACACAGGGCCTGCTGCCTCCCATGCCCATCCTGGGCAGGCAGCCAGGCAGGGAGCTGGACAAGTGCCCACTGTGCACTCAGAGGCCAAAAGATGGGCACCGTCCAGTTGGCAGAGGGAGAGGCAGCTGGCTCAGGAGGGGAGACGTCAGGGTGCCGACTGCTGGGGTCGTGTGCCCAAACGGTGTGTCCAAGATTGGCTGCCCTCCTGAGCTGTTCGCTGGAGCTGGGAAGGGCCCCCTTCCTCCTCCCGCACTGGCCCTGCCATCTGAGTTACTGCAACTGGAGATTAATCTCAAAGGGGCATCAGGGACTTGCCCTTAGCCAGGCATGTGGCTGCTTCAGGGGCAGGTCTGGGGGCGGGCAGGAAAGTGGGAGAGCCCAGAGTAAGGCTGCAACTGGGTAGAACAGGAAGTAGGGAAACCGGTTTGTCATTTGGGCCTCTTTGGGTGGGGTGGGGTCTCCTCTCTCAACTCCCTGCCTGCCTGCCACTCTGCCTGGAGGCCTGCAGCGAAGAGGTGTCCTGAGCCCCTTCCCGGATCAGCTAACCTGCGTGGGGATGCTGATAAGGGGCAGGGAACTTAGCCTCCCTTCCCCTCCTCAAGAGAAGCTCGGAGAGAAGACACAGGACAGCAAACCGGAGGGAGAGAGGGAGCCAGCAACCAAGACAGGAGGAGGGGCCGGTGCTGGTCCCAGTGGGAAAAGTCTGTGGACCTCACAGGTAGGCCAGGGTAGGAGGGAGGAGGGGGTGGGAGAACGGAGCGGGTGGGACAGTGCTGGCTTCTGCAGGCTCAGGTGGAGGTGGCAATGGCGAGGCCAAGCGAAGTGTGAGAGGGGCAGGAGCTGAAGCGCCCTCCTTTAGGGCCCTACTTGACCGATGGTCCTACACACCTTACCACTAGCAGAGGCCGC